TTTTTTTTTTTTGATACAGCAAAGCATAAGATTCTGTGTGGTTTTTTAGTGAAGTAAGTGTGCATGTATGTGTTTGGGTGTGTGTGTGTGTGTGTTCTGGAAATACAGTGAAAACTTTAATCAAATTGTGATCTTTGTGTCAAGAGATTACTGTTGCTGGGTATGGTGGTGCATGATTGTAATTCCAGCACTTGGGAGGCTGAGGCAGGAGGATTGCCATGAGTTTGAGGCCAGTCTGGAATACGTAGTGAGGTCAAAGCCAGCCTGAACTACATAGTGACACCTTGTCTCAAAAAGTGTGTGTGGGGGGGTGTTACTATTATGTTGTGTTTTTTATTATTTTCTCTTTATTCTGTTGTATACCTCAGGGATACCAGTTAGCTGCTGGATCTTCGTAAGTTCTCTGTAACCTCTTATGGCTATATTATTTTTTCTTTAAAGCTTGTTTCCTTTTTCTCCAAATAAATGTCTTTCTGTGACTTCATTTTATTGCATGGGATATGTTCGCTCTTGATGCTTTTTTTAGTTGTGCTCTTATTTTTCTGTGGTAAATATTAATCCTGAATGTTTTTCTTCTCTTTTGAAAACCTTCCTTTTTTCCTTCTTCATTCATTGTCTACATCACTCTTTCCACTCTTCCTCCTTTTCAACTCTTCTGTAAGAATTTTCTTTATTCTATGCCTTCTGCTCTTATACCACATTTTTCATATCTATTGATGGATATGTATGCTGTTTCCAAAATCTAGCTATTATAAATTGTTCTGCTATAAACATGGGTATATGTTTTTATATGATTTGTTTTTTGATGTTGTTTTTTTTGGTATGGGGGATTGAACTCAGGTCCTTGAGCTTGCAGTGAAACCACTGAGCTAAATCCCCGGCCCTATATGATTTTAACTACTTGGGAAGATACCTCAAAGGGGGATACCTGGGTCAAATGGAATTTCTATTTTTAGTTTTTCAATTTCCATAATAGTTGTACTAGTTTACATTCTCACCTACAGTGTAGAAGAGTTCCTTTTTTCCAACACCTTCACCAGCATTTGTTATTGCTACATTTTTAGTATATGTGCTGCCAAAGCAAGCACATATTATTAGATTTTTAGATGATAGCCATTCTTTTTGTGGTAAGATGGTATCTCAGTGTAGTTTTAATTTGCATTTCTCTGATAGCCAGCAATGATGAACCTTTTTTCATGTATTTATTTGCCATTTGGACTTCTTCTGAGAAGTGTCTGTTCATTTCAGTTCCCCATTTTTTGAGTGGGTCTTTTTATTTTTGAAGGGGTCTAATTTTTTTGAGTTCTTATATATTCTGGATTTTAGTCCTCTGCCATGGAATAGCTGGCAATCTTTTTTACCATTTTTTAGATTGTCTCTTCACTCTGTTGGTTGCTTCTTTTGCTGTGTAGAAGCTTTTAAATTTGGTATGATCTCATTTGTCAATTCAGTATTATTTATTATGTCATTGGGTTTCAGTTCAGAAATTTCTTGCCTGTTTCTTCAAGCATTGTACCTATTTTATTTTCCATCAGATTGTTTCTCTTTTAACATTTAGATCTTTGATCCATTTTTATTTTAGTTTAGTACAGTGAGAAATATGAGATTCAGTCTTCTGCATGTGGATTAGGCAGTTTTCCCAACACCATTTATTGAAGTGGCTATCTTTCCCTCCAGTGTACAGTATGTTTGGCTGTTTTGTCAAAGATCAAATAGCTGTATGTCCAGGGTTGTTTCTGCTTCTTCTATTCTGTTAATTAATCCACATTTCCTGTTTTTGTGCCAGTACCATGCTGTTTTAGTCACTGTAGCTTTATAGTACAACTTCAAGTCTGGGATTGTAATGCTATTATCAGGTAGCCTGCTCCTAAAAGTGGCTCATCAACTAAACAGTACTGGGTTCTGGAGAGCTCACCTCTCCCTCTGGAGTTAGATTCCAGGTTCTTCTTGTCATGAACAAAGAATTGAACAAAATGAGCAAAAAACAGTGGCCAAGTTTATTCAAGAAAGTAAAAGTGAAGAGTGGGGGAGAAACTGGCTCTGCAGAGTGATCTTGGGTCAAGTAAGAGAGGAAAAAGCAACAAAAGAACACCCTGGAGAAAGCAGGGTGGGCTGTCTTGAGGAGAAGTCACCATAGCAAGCTCTTCATGGCTCACCTCTTTTATGTTGTCTAATACATATGGGTCCTGAGAGGCAGTGGTAGGATCCCCTACCTAAGGGTGACATCAAGTCTAGGCCACCCTGTTGAAAACCTGCTTGAGTTCCTGCCAGAACTCCACGTCCAGGGCTTAAGGAATTGTTCTGTGGATGTGTTGGGGATCTTGTAATTAAAAGGTCATGCCTACTTTCCACAACCAGCTTTGCCATGCCCTACTCTCCTTTCTCAATGCCACATCCTTTGCTTTTGTTGCCCAATATTGCTGGGTAATCTAACATCCTGGTCAATGTATGTTGTACTGGCATTATCATTGAATTCTAGGAACTATCTTCCTTCTTTCTTTCGAAACTGTCTTTTTTCTTCCTTAATTTTCTCTGTGACCCATTGATTACTCAAGAATGTGTTGTTTAATTTCCATATGTATAGCTTCTGTGGTTTCTTTTGCTATTGATTTCGACTTTCATTGTGTGTTTCAATATGTGGTAAAATTACAATTCATTTACTTAAGCATGCTTTATTAGGTAGAATGATCTATTTTGGAGAAATTACCATGTGCAGCTGAAAAGAATATGTGGTCTAGGGCCGGGGATTTAGCTCAGTGGTTCCAGCGCCTGCCTCACAAGTGCAAGGATCTGAGTTCAATCCCTGGTACCAAAAAAAAAAAAAAAAAAAAAAGATTATGTGCTCTGTTGTTCAGTAGGACACTTTGTATTTATCTATTAAGTCCATTTGTTCCAAAGTTTGATTCAACTCTGATTTTTCTTTGTTGATATTTTTGTTTAGTTGATCAGTTTGTGATAGTGGGGTATTGAGACCCTCTGTTATAATTGTATTATCTGATCTTTTATTAGAATTTGTCTTATGAAGTTTAATGCACTTGTGGTTTGGTGCATATATGGTTATAATTGTTATTTCTTCCTGTTAAATAGTTCCATTAACCAGTTTTCTTTAAGAGCTTGAAACACTGCATTCCACGCTCTTTTGGCCTTTAAGGTTTGTGTTGAGAAATCTGTTGTAATTCTGGTGTGTTTTTATTTATTGGTGATTCCTTGTTTTTCTCTAGCAGCTGTTAAGATCTGTTCTTGTTTTGTATTTCTGGTATTTTAATAATTATGTGGCGTGGGTAGTTTTTTTCTGATAATGGCTATTTGGCATTCTGTATGCTTTATTTATGTGTGTATTAAAGGCTTTTTCCATGTCTAGAAAGTTTTCTGCTGTTATGTGTGTAACAAGTTTTTATGCCTTTGTGCTATTTTCTGATTTTTCATTCCAATTCATTCTTCCTCTTTTGGTCATCTAGGAGCTGTTGGATCTATTTTTCATGTTCCCTTGTTGTTTTTAATGTATCTCTCATTAATTGATCATTGACCTCAACCCTGTCCTCTAGATCTGACACTGTCTTCACATTCTTCTGCTACCCATACTTTCAATCACATTTTTTCTTGGATTTCTGTTTAGACCCTTTTTTAGACTCCTTTTCTATGCTGAGCATTCATGTTTTGCATCTCTTTCTATAACTTCATTGGCTGTTTATTAATGTCTTCTCTAGACTTGCTGATCATTTGTTTCATTAGGGTTATTATCTGATTAATTATGTCTTCTTTAAATTCGTCAAGTACCTTATTGAACTGTTTTAACCTCCATTGATTCCCTTTCAGACTTGTCTGCTGTGTAGTTTGATTTTCTCCCTGTCTATGCCCCTTCAGATTTGGGGGGAGTTGGCAGTGTTCTGAGGCATTTTGTTGCCTTGTCTTTTCATGCTTCTGTGTTTTTGTTTTTGTGCTATGGTTTGCAAATTATTTGGCCCAGTGCCCCATTCGTCTTGGGAATGCAAGTCACAGTGTCATTTTTGACCCACAGGCAATTCAGATATTGGCATAGAGAACATTGCCAGGCACTACAGTGTTACCTTGGCTATCATAGTAAATTCAGCAGCAGCAGTGCCATCAAATTTCAACTGGATAATGACAAACCCTAGGAACCACTCATGAACAGCCCTTAACCAAAACAAAGAAAACTATGATTTAAGTGAAGACAATTAGGCCACCCTTATTGACCTATAATAGTTCAGACCACTGATTTCTGCTGGATGTAGGCAGCAGTGCCAGAGCAAATGTACTTGTTAAGGACTGCCCTCTGTGACAGCTACTCCCACCAAACCTGGTCTCCCACAACAGAATACGGGCCCTGTGATCTTCCTGGTCTCCCAGGGCATCTCCCTGTTCAGCTGTCACCCTCTCCAGCCCTAACTCCCAAGGCTCTCAGGTAAGGTATCACTTCAGTCCTGAAGCAAAACTGTCCCTGGGGGGCCAGGGATTTAGCTCAGTGGTTCTGCTGCCTGCCTCACAAGCGCAAGGACCCGAGTTCAATCCTCGGTACAAAAAAAAAAACTCTCCCCTGGTATTGGCCTCTTATTCTATCAGGTCAGCTTGTTAGTTGGCAAGTCTGTGGGCTGGGGGCAGGGTGTGCACTTAGGGGTCCTCCTAGCTTGTCGAGTGAATGATTCCCAGATCCTCCTGATAGTCTTTTTTTTTTTTTTTTTGGTACGGGGGATTGAACTGGGGTCCTTGCACTTGCGAGGCAGGTGGCGGACACACTGAGCTAAATCCCCTGTCCTCCTCCTGATAGTCTTTTAAATTGAATACATTTAGCTTTAGTTAAAACCCTTTATATTTAGCTTTAATTTTTTTCTTTATATTTAACCACAGATCAATAAATACTTTTTCACAGATGATAATTCAGAACTTTTTGCTTGATACGTGGAACAAAATACTTAAAAGAGGCCCTACATGAATATGAGGAGTAGCAGATACATATCTCATGTCCTTTATTTTCTCACCAGTTCGATCCTTTGGTACAGAAGACAGACCAACAGATCGTCCAATACCACCTCGAGATGAAGTCTTTGAATACATTATATTCCGCGGGAGTGATATCAAAGACCTCACTGTTTGTGAGCCACCAAAACCACAATGTTCTTTGCCTCAGGACCCAGCTATTGTTCAGGTAACTGACGATAAATTTCTCTTGCAATGGAGGTGTAAACTTCACAGACAGCTAGCCCTGGCTTTTGTCTTTCCCAATTGAGTGTTCATAAAGCTTACCATTTTAAAGTTACCTGGATACTTAAAACTACCTGCATGATATTCTTATTTAGATTTTTCTCTTCTGGTCATAAATTGGGACAAAATAAGGTAAGCAATAGATGAAGAATTTATTTTCATGATAAAATATTTTAACATTACAGTGTTACCATGGCTAACATGTATTGAAAGCTATCAATAAGAAGTGCTCTGGGGCCAGGATTTAGCTCAGTGGCACCTCGCCTGCCTTGCAAGCGCAAGGTCCTGAGTTCAATCCCCAGTACAAAAAAAAAAAAAAGAAGTGCTCTGAGCACTGTACTACTATATCACACTGTGCAGTAAGCACAAAGCAACACAACTATGACATTCGGCAGACATGTAAGCTATTTCCAAGATTTGTTCACATGTACAAATTAACATGAGGAAATGTTGTAACCTGAGGTCCTTTTGTATCTGAAAGTTCACAGCTCAGATGTTTCAAAGTCGGGTACTTACTATACAGTGTATACTTATATGTTCATTAGAAACATAAAGGCTCTTTGAATTTTGAATATAGCAACAAAAGCCTTTTCACATAGAAATACTTTTTTTGTATATTTTTTACTTGTTGGTTTTTCAGTGTATGTTATGCTGGCCTCAAACTTGAGATCCTCCTGCCTCAGCCTCCTGAGTGATGGGATTGCAGGTGTGTTCCACCATCCCTGGCTCATAAGGAATGTTTTTACTTGTGAGCATAGCTGATTAAAAGTTAGGCCCTTCCCATGGTTTTCTTTCTGTACTTTTTTTTAACCTTTTTTTCTTATCATAAATCTGTCAGTTGTACTAAAATGTGCTTGTTGGGCTTTTTGGCGGGGGGGGTACTGGTGATCAAACTCGGGAGCTTGCGCTTTGTTGGGCTTTTTTTTTTAAGCACTGTAATACTTTTAAATTGTTTTATATTAACTTCTCTTTTTTTGTGCTAAAAGTGATACAATCTTAGTTTTCCACAACATACCTTTTTTTTTTGGTGATAGTACTGTAGATTGAACCCAGGGCCTCGTGCATGCTAGACAAGTGCTCTATCACTCAACTACATCACCAACCCTTTTTATTTTTTGTTTAGAGACAGGGTCTTGCTAAGTGGTCCAGGCTGGATTCAAACTTGTGATTCTCCTGCCTCACCCCCACCTCCAAAAGACTGGGACAATAGGCATTTGTCATCACACCTGACCTATCCCTCCCTTTTTATTCTGTTCTTTTTGTTTGGTTGGGGTTTTTTTGGTACTGGAGATTGAATGCAGGGGTGCTTTACCAGTGAGTTACACCCTTGTCCTTTTTTTGGAGAAAAGATCTCACTAAGTTTATGTTCCCAGGTAGCAAACATAAGATCCCTTTAGATCCTCCTACCTCGGTCTTTCAGTGTTGGGATTATAGGCATACACTACTGTACCTATCTTTGTCCCTCCCTTTTTAAGATTTATTTTTATAGAAGGAATTCTGAAGAAATCCTGATTAATGTTAATCTCTTAGATGGAAAAAGAAAAGATACATTCTTAATGGAGATACTTGACTACACCAAAGATTGGTGTTACATTATCTTATATATATCTTTTGATAATTTTCTGGGAACTATTTATTTGAATAGTCACTTATAGAAGGAGAACAAAGAGAGCACAAATCAAAATGGTACTGAATTTCTTAATCTTCAATTTGATTGTTTTATTCATTCAGCAGTATTTATTGAGTACCTGGCATGTCTTTAGTATTAGCAATAAACACAAGGTAATATCCTGCCATATGTGCACTTATATACCAGTAGCCTCTAATATAGTTTATGTTTATATCATGAAATACTTTATAATAAGGTAAACAAAATGTGTATGTATTAAAATATATTTGAGATTTAATAAGTTAGTTTATGTAAAATGTTCCTTAGCCTACTATAACTACATGTAAAAATGTAAATGGTTTTGTGTGGGATATGTTTATTTCTCTTTTTTTAACAAGTTTTATTTTATCCCATTTCCCCCCTCAAGCCCCCTCCCCTCCCTATGTACAAAAGCTTTGTTTCCATTTTTTCCTTCTATTTTCACTTTTTTTCTTGTCACGTCCTTCCTTTTTCTCTCCTTCCCGGGGTATGTTTATTTCTGCATCCCTTTCCTGTGCACTTAATAGTAGTCCTCAAATGATTGAAAGCAAAGGAAAAATCACAAGTAAGATGCTTATTTATCTCAGTATCAGACTGAAACCCAGTATCACTGAATGTCATTTTTCTTTAAGTAATTTACTTACTGAAGTAAACTTTTCATTTATTCATTTATTCTTTCCTAAATCCATTATAAAACTCTTAACTCAGAGGAGTTTATATTAGGAAAAAGTGTTTGTAAATCACATTGTGTATAATTGGCAAACCCAAAATCAGAATGTTAAGTTGTTATAATACCTATTTTAAGTCATTGTAATTTATTTTGTTTCTAGCGATTACAGTTTAATACTCTTATTAGCTTTTTAAAATTTGAATTTCTTTTTATTATACATATGTTACTTAGTGCTTAGGAAAATAACCCTTTTATTTTCTTCTTTCAGTCTTCATTAGGTTCATCTACTTCTTCATTCCAGTCAGTGGGAGTGGGTTCCTATGGACCTTTTGGCAGGATGCCGACATACAGCCAGTTCAGTCCAAGTTCATTGGTTGGGCAACAGTTTAGTGCTGTTGGTGTTGGTAGGTGGTGATTTTTTTTCTTTTTTTAATTTCCCTTTCTTTATCACAAAGGTATAGAAACTTACTACAAATTCTTACATACTTTTAGAAACATTTGGTGTTCCTTTTATAACCTTGTTTTAGGGTGTGAAGAATACATTGCCAAGCCAGGCATGGTGGCACACACCTATGATCCCAGCACTCAGGATGGTGAAGCAGGAGGATCACCTAGAGTTTAAGGCCAGGCTGAACTACATAGTGATACCCTGTCTCAAAAGCAAAAAACCACATTGTGATGCACACATACAATCCTAGCGCTCACAGGGCTGGGGATTTAGCTCAGTGGTTTTGCCGCCTGCTGCGCAAGCACAAGGACCCGAGTTCAATCCCCCGTACCAAAAAAATTAAAATTAAAAAAATAAATTTTCATATGCAGATGCTCTTCAACTTATAGTGGGCTTACATCCTAATAAATACAAGTTGGAAGTGAGTCACAGTGCATTTAATACATGTAATACCCAACATAGGTTAGTTTGTTCCTCCTTAAATATACTCAAAATAATTACATTAGTTTATAGTTGGACAAAATCATCTAACACAAAATCTATTTTATAGTAAGGTGTCAAATAATCTCTTGTACACACAGATGGGCGTTTGTAGGCATGATGTAAAAGCATGAAACGTAATATCCAAAATATACTGGCACACAGTACACTGTAGGGTATGAGTACACTCCTGTGATGAGATAGCTCACTGTGAGCTGCAGCTTGCTGCTGCTGCTGTCCAGCATCACAAGAAGGTATGGCTAGCCTAGGAAAAGAAATTCAGAGTACAGTATGTACTGAAAGAGTATGTTTTCATACTATCCTCAAGTCAAAAAATAGGTCAAGCTGTCATAAGTTGGACACCATCTTTATTGTTACTGCACTGTTAGTAGTTTTATTTGCAGTTTTTTCACTATTTTAATAACCTTTTATAGAGAACTCTAAATAGAAAAAATCAGCAACCCAACAAAATTGGGCAAGGAACTTAACAATTCACAGAAAAAGAAATAGAAATGATCCTTAAGCATATTGAAAAAGATGCTTTGATTTGCTTGTAATAAAAAATACTAGTGAAATGTATACTGAGACACCGCTTTTCCACAACAATTTGGCAAAACCCCAGAATTTTGTCAGCATTGTTTTGTTCAGTCTGAAGAAACAGGCACTGTCAATTGAAAGGAGTGATGTACCAGTTAGATTGAAAGCACTTCTTTCTAAGCTTATGCAAAAATAATTCTTTTCGGGAGGGATTGTGGAGTGGGGGGTTGATACAGGGTCTCACTGTACAGTATAGTTCAGGCAGGCCTTGAACTGTGTAGCCCAAGCTGCCCTCAAACTCGCAGTGATCTTCCTGCCTCACCCCTCAAGTACTGAGATTACAGGCATGCTCCACCAACATAGGCCCACCTATAACCTTAATTTATAGACCTTTAGGAAAAATTACGTATAGATAAATGAAGCGTCAAAGCAGTATTTTCTTATGTTACCACTGATGAGTAACACACTCAGACCTTACTGCTACAGTAAGAAAAAGGATTACTAGAAAGGGTAAATGGTACAGTGATCAACCATCTCCCCAATACCACCACCATGGTACTGGGGGTCAAATCTAGGAGCTATGCATTTTAGACAAGCACACTACCTAACAACTACAGCTATATCACAAGGCCTACCAGCCATTTGAATTAATTGTGAAGCAAATATTAAAGTAGCTTGAGCCAGGCATAGTGGTGCATGCCTATAATCCTAGCACTCAGGAGGCTGAGGCAGAAAGATCGCTGCCAGTTTGAGGCCAGCCTAGGCTACGTAGTGAGTTCAAGGCCAGCCTGACCTACATAACAAGATCCTGTCTCAAAAAAACAAAAAATAAAATAAAGGCACATGGAACCTTTTCCCCCCTCATTATTTACTTTTTCCTGTTATTTACTTAATGAAGTCAGCTGGTTGTTTACAGATAATTGAGACAGGTTTACTAGTGTCCCGTGGCATGCTAAGTCTCATAATTCTCTTAGGGCAAGATGAAGGAATGTTAGCCAAATAGATGTGCATACATTTTAGACAAGGTCAGATACATTCAGGGTGGTATGGCTGTAGATGACATACGTACATTTTAGTTCATTAACTTGTCAACCAACTGTTTGGATGATGATTCTCTTAGGTCTCCAATGTTTTGTACAGATTTTTAATCACCAAGTTTGATGAATTAGAACTCATACATGTGAATTTTATGAGACTAAGAATTGTTCAAGATCTACTTTAGCCAGGTGTGGTAGTCTAGGCCTATAATCTTGGTACAAAGCAAGCCGAGGTGGGAAGATAGTGAGTTCAAGGATAGCAAGTTCAAGCCCAGCCTGAGCAATTTAGTGGGACCCTCTCTCAAAAATTTAAAAAAGGGGGCGGGGGATTTAGCTCAGTGGTTTCGCTGCCTGCTGCGCAAGCACAAAGACCTAGGTTCGATCCCTGTTACCCAAAAAAAAATTTTAAACAGGGTTGGGGATAGGCTCAGTCCCCAGTATTGCAAAAAAGAGAGAAAAGAAAGAATAGACTAGGAAAAGGACATACCATAAAGACCAGTAACAAGAAAACTGTTAAATATGTTGATGATCGACAAAGCAGATAAAAACCAGGAGTGCTGCCAGGGATATAGCTCAGTGGCGCCGTGCTTCCCTAGCAAGCCCAAAGTTCTGAGTTCAATCACCAGTACCAAAAAAAAACACAGACAAAAATCAGGAATGCTAACAGAAGTAAAAGGAATTCTTCATAATAATTCAAGGGTCAGTTTAGACAGTCATAATAATCCTCAGTGTGTTTACTTTTGAAAAACTGCTCAACAGTTAACAATATATTTGGTTTTTTAAAGTAGAAATGTATTGGTCAATAATGTAGATCAAATCCTGGGCCCTAGAACAAGTTACATTAAATTCCAAAAGGACAGGGCTGGGGATTTAGTTCAGTGGTTTCGCTGCCTGCTGTGCAGGCGCAAGGACCTGAGTTTGATCCCCGGTACTAAAAAAAATTCCAAAAGGACTGAAATCATGCATAGTATCTTGTCAACCACAAAGAAATTAAATTTGGAATTAACAAAGGTGATTTGCAAAATCTCCAAATAATTTTAAGTAGTATAAACTTGGTAATCACTGTACATCAAAGATGAAGTTATAAAGAAAATTTAAAATTAAAAGAATTACTAATATAACAACCATAAAATACAACATCAAAAATTTGTAGGTTGGGACGGGGATTTAGCTCAATGGTTTCGCCACCTGCTGCACAAGCACAAGGACCCGAGTTCGATCCCCAGTACCAAAAAAAAAAAAATTTGTAGGTGGAACAAAAAGCTTTGAAGGATATCTTCATAATTTTAAATGTGCATAGTAGAAAATAAGATTTTTTTTTGGTACTGGGGATCAAACTCGGGACCTTGCACTTGCAAGGCAGGCGGTGGACGCCCTGAGCTAAATCCCCGGCCCAAGAGAAAATAAGATTTTTAGGGAGCCGGGGATTTAGCTCAGTGGTTTTGCCACCTGCTGCGCAAGCACAAGGACCCAAGTTCGATCCCCAGTACCAAAAAAAGAAAAGAGAGAGAGAAAATAAGATTTTTTGAAATCAGAATAGCCTAAGAAGCTAGAAAAGAAGGGAATCATCCCAAAAGTAATAAAGTTTTATTGGAACACAGCTATACCCATTATTTACATGTTTTCTATGGCTACTTTTACACTGTAAGGATAAAATGACATAGTTATTTATGGCTGGAATCATATTGCTTGTAATACTGTTTATATATTTTTATTTCATTCATTCATTTATTAGACAGGGTATTTCCAGGCTAATAGTGCCATGCCATTAATCCCAGTACCTGCCTGAGAGGCTGAGGCAGGAGTATTGTCTAGACTGAGACTAGCCTGAAATACATAGCGAGACTATGTCTCAAAAAAACAAAAAATAAAGACAAGATCTTGACCTGGGCATGGTGGCACATGCCTATAATCCCAACAGTCAGGAGGCTTTTTTTTTTTTGGTACTGGGGATCGAACTCAGGACCCTGCGCTTGCAAGGCAAGTAGTGGAACCACTGACTCAAACCCCTGGCCCTTTAAAAAGAAAAAAGTAATGTAGAATTGTGGCAAGTAGAAGGGACTTTGATGTGACCTCAGACTCAGCGAAGAGATGGGGAATATAGGAAGAGTTTGCTAACCGTTGAATGAACCAGGGCCAAGAGAGGGATGTTGTGTGGGTAAGGAAGCACATAGCATGGAAATAGGAATGAACAGTAACTGGCATTTCAGGCATGTGCTATCACTCCACCAGGCTGCTAACCTGGAATCCCGGCACTTGGCAAGCTCAGGCAGTATTGTGAGTTTAAAGCCAGTCTGGCCAATTTAGTGAGACTTATCTCAAAAAATAAAAAGGGCTGGGATAAAGAACATCCCTGGGTTTAATCCCCAGTACTGCAAAATGAAATTAAAAAGGAAAGAATGATCATCAGAGTAGCGTTGTTTCTAGGAATACTAGAGATAGAGGAATGCCTCCCCGCTGCCTCCTCACCTACCGCCACCCCCAACTCTTAAAAAGCCACAATATTCCCAAGGGTACTGTAGGAGGTTGTTGTTGGGTACTTCCTGAGCTGGCTAGCTGGAGTGCACCTCCAGGGTAGTCTCAGTGGCATCCACTGCCTAAGTTACTGTGTTGTGTTGTGTGTCCCATTTTAGAGGAATATAAATAAATAGAATTCCTTGAATTAGGAGTTGCCCAGAGATGTGTTACTTTTTTTTTTTTTTTGGTACTGGGGATCGAACTCGGGGCCTTGTGCTTGTGAGGCAGGTGCCAGAACCACTGAGCTAAATCCCCGGCCCCTGAAGAGGTGTTTCTTAAAGTCCATGTTAACTGAAGGAACTGGAATTGCCTACATGGGAAATGAGTAGGTTGCGAGGAGCATGATCCTTGTGTTGTGTTGTGCTGTGTTTTTTGAGATTGGGTCTCTGTAGTCCAAACTGACCTCAGACTCATACAAGAATGCACCACCATACTCAGCTCATAGTCATAATCTTTATATATTTTTAAAGCAGAAGTATAAACTTCTGCTGTAGGCTACACTGTTGAAAAGAAGGAAAGTGATGAGAAGTAGAGTTTGGCAGATAAGGAGAGGACCTTAGAATTGAGGTTAGTTGTTGAAACTTTTGTCTTGAAGACAGTGAAAGTCATTAGAGGGTCCTAAGCACTGTTGTAATAATGTAATTATATTTGTATTTTATAAAAAATTACTCTGACTGTTAGATTGGGTTTAGAGATTGGGGAGTAGGGACTGTTGAATAGAAAGAAAACCTACATAGATGAAATAAGTAGGACGAAGGCACAGTAAATAAAAAATATCCAGGCATGGTGGCACACACCTGTAATCTCAGCACTCAGCAGCCCAAGGCAGGACCATCCCAGACCTGAGGCCAGCCTGGACTACATGGACCCTATCTCAAAAAAAAGCAAAAACTTTTAAAACTTAATTTTTTTTTTAAGTAAATGGTCCATAAATACTATAGAAACTTAAGAGAAGATTGACATTGCCAAGTATGGCAGAGAACAGGTCTCTTTGTAGGGATTTTATTACTCATATTGCCCAACGTTTCTGTGATTGCTTTAGGCTAAATGCAGTCCCACAGTCCCATCTTCAGGGAAAGCATTAATGCTGGAGTCATTATTGTCTTGCCTCAGAAGTGGTGGCAAATTTCCTAGTATAACTGGCTATTTGTGAAGATACTTAATATTAGAATAATTTGAACTTAGTTTGATTTAAAAGGTACCGTTTCTATTACTTTGCTGTCTTATATGTGTCCTTTGTGGCATCCACATAACTACAGTACTGTGTGTTATAAAAATTGTTTGCATCCAAGGATACCACACATTAGCTACATACTGGCCTTTTTTCTCCCAGCATTGTTATACATTTCCCAAACTATTACTTGATACACTTTAATTTCCAGGATTATTCATTTATACAAGTTCTATGAGAGGGTATAAGCAGACAGTAATCAATAAATTGCTACACTGTTTCATATAATTGAAGATGAAAACATTAAAAATTTTTTTATCATTGAAAAACATCTCTTCAAGCTGGAAGCTCTTTGACATCCTTTGGAGCAGAAACGTCGAACAGCAGTAACTTACCCCAAAGTGGTGCAATTGGATCTGCCTTTACACAGGATACGAGATCTATAAAAACACAGTTATCTCAAGGTAAGCAATTTTTTTCTTTAGATATTTTATTCTAAATTTTTATAATGGATTTTATCTTTCTCTGAATATAAGAGCTTTTATAGTTTGTAAATTACATGTTTAATTTCTGGTGAATTCTTTAAAATTTTTCTTCCAATTGATGTATTATTGAATTGACTTCCACTCTTTACACCTTTTACCATTCTAAGATTGTGAAACCGAACTGGTGAGCATTCTCTAAGTTGGACTTCTGTTTGCAAAGCAGTTATATAACTTGTAAATAACAATGTATCAGACCAGTCCCAGACTTACCACTGTAAAGGAGCTATCCTAGATGAAATTCAAATATCATCTGAAAAAATAAACTGTTCCATTACATCCTCATAGAATGTATTCATTCCCAGTGTGTACCACCCACAACAGAATCAACTGGAGTGCTTCTGAAAAATATAGATCCTGAGATCTACTATGTCAGAATCCCTAGAGCCTAGGGATTTGCATTTTAATAATCTTTGTAAAGAATCCTGTTTCAAAAAAAAAAAATCTGCAGGCCAGGGATTTAGCTCAGTGGTGCCGCCGCCTTCCTCGCAAGCCTAAGGTCCCGAGTTCAATCCCCAGTACCCCCCAAAAAAATCAGTTTCAAGTTTTTAATAAGTACTCATATCTTCTTTTAACCACCACAGAGTGGGTATTGTTGGTTCATTGCTTTACATGAATATTTACTTTTTAAAATTTGTTTGGGTTTTTGTTGGGTTTTTTTGGTTGGTTGGTTGGTTGGTTGGTGTTTTTTTGAGACAGGGTCTTGCTATGTGGTTTAGGCTGGTCTTGAACTTGCTATGTAGCCCTGGCTGGTCTTGAACCTATGTCAGTTCTCCTGTCTCAGCCTCCCAAGTGCTGGGATTATAGGCATGCACCACCACACCTGGCTTTACTTTTCAGCAACTCAATGTAAAGCCATTTCAGAAAAATGCTATATTTATAGGGCATTTTTTAAAAGCTGTTGACTAAAAATCAAGCCAATACTAAACATAACCCTATATATCTCATATTTTGAAATAGTAGCTACTATTATTCATGTTGACCTAAAATATCTTAATTATTATATGTGTACATATTTTAGAGTTCTTGGACTGGGGATTTAGCTCAGTGATGCATTGCCTGCCTGGCAAGTGTAAGGTCCTGAATTCGATTCCTGGTACCAGAAAAAAACCTGAAGACTATCGTATTTTAGAATTCTTTCCTGACTGGGAAAATGCTTAATCTTTTTAAGGATTAGTTTCTTAAACTATACAATGGGACTTTCCTGGGAACTTTCAGACTTGTGCAAGAATTAGATTTTCAAAAACCATTCATACATACATACATGATGCCCACCACATAGATCATTCTCAGTACAAGTTAGCCATCTTCACTGTAGCCAACATCAAACTTAATACTGAAGCTCCAGAAAAATTCTTACTAATATAAATACAGAGATCTGCTGTTGCTGCTACTCATTCTTCTGGAATTTTCAGCTCTAACAGGTACACATGAGGAAGTAAATATGAGGCATAAATATTGGAATTACCACTATTTACTAATTTTCTGCTTGGAATCGATAATTCACTGAAAAACAGAAATAGTAAAGGACTTAAATCAGAGGTAAAATGTAAAGTGAATATACAAAATTCAATGATAATTCTAAAACCTGTCCTGTTCTATGTAATAGAAATAAAAGGCTCACAATAATGACAAATAGAAATTATGAAGTACATAAGAAATATAACAAGCTTCTATGGAGAAAAATGCAAAATTTAATAGACCTCACATATTGTAATTAGAGAAGCATATCTTGTTCTTAGATAAAAGATTCAGGATTGAAAAGACTTTACTTTTCATATTAATTAAATTTATTGTACTTTTTGTCAGAAAGATTATCTTTAAATGTGGACACAGAGCAGGACAATTTGAAAAATGTAAAGGCTTACCTGCTTGATAGTAAAATATATTTTATTATATAAGATAAAAGCAATATAATAGAAAATTTAGAGATGAATGGAACAAAATACAAAGTCAGAAACAGTTCCAAGTTTAAGTAAGAATTTAAGAGTTGGTGGGTGTAGCTCAGTAGTAGAATGTTTGCCTAGCGTGCATGAAATCCTGGGTTCCATCCCCAGTACACCCGCCCCTAAAAAAAGTAGATTGAAATGTCAAATTAGTTGGTTGTTGTGGCACATACCTGTAAACCCATCTCCTTAGGAAGCTAATGCAACTGGATTACAAATTCAGTCCCAGCCTGGGCAATTTATCAAGACTCTGGTCTCAAAATTTAAAAGGCCCAAGGGATGTAACTTAGTAGGTAGAGCATTTGGGTAACACGTGTGAGGCCCTGTGTTTCATCCCTAGTATCAGAGGAAAAAAAAGTTTAAAACAAAGTTAGAGATGTATTTACATAAGACTATTACAGAAGACATCCTAGAGGTCTGCATTAAAATTTCACTAACTAAAAATTCTGAATTTCACAAAATAAAACGTGGAATTTCTTTAGCTGTGGTAAGATTGTGAAAATAACTCAAGGGGATGTGTTTTTATAAAATAGCTTCTGGTTTTATTCTTAATACTATGTTCACATCACCTATATTTCCCCACTTATAGCAGAATTGGCATCATGATTAGTAGATTAAAATAGAAAAAATTTAGACAAATGAATTTGGTACTTGATTTGATTACCCCATCCCATGTATTTCTGTAATAGTTTTTAGTCACAAAATCTTTTCTCAAAAGACTCAATAAAGCAGTTTTAAAAACTTAAAAGATTATTTTATGTAGTGTTGTAAAATTATAGCAACAGGCTTTTAGAAAAACATGAAAAAGGTGGGCATGGGCATGGTGGCAGTTGCCTATAGCTCTAGCTACTCGGAAGGTTGCTTGAGCCCAGAAGTTCAGGGCTAGCCCTCTGGGCAACATAGACCCTATCTTTAAAAATATATATATATGTAATTATTTTCTCATAGACAAAAACTTATGTGAATCATCATAATTTCCCCCTTATAATTTTGATGGGAAAGTGACTTAGACATTATGTCTAGAAGTGATGATATGTGTTTGTAATTGCATACTTTAGATGAAGTATAAACTTAGGGAATATTACTGATTATCTCTGAAGTATCTGGGTACACAATAACCAACATGTTATCAGCAGTCACCAGATTGACAGCCATATTGTAGGGGCAAAAAAAACATGATGAAAGTACTAATGTTATATTCTTTGGCTCATACAGTGGTAAGGCTCTGACCTCACAAAAGGAAAAATGGAAGTTGTTACATGCAAACCCCATATTAACCCAACACTTGCCAAGACATCCATAGGGTGGCAAGGAATGAATATACTGTATAAGTATCTGAAGGGTTTTATTTGTTACTGGCCTTTTAGTTTTGATGTTTAATTACCCAAACTCCAGCCTAAAGCTATTTAAAAACCACCTACCTTAGTTTCTTGTGCTTTACTTTCTTGTAATAGAACTTTGTTTGGGCCAGTATTACTTAATGACCAGCCTACTAAGAATAATCAGATTAAGGGCTGGGGATTTAGCTCAGTGGTTTCACTGCCTGCTGTGCAAGCGCAAGGACCCGAGTTCAATCCCCAGTACCAAAAAACAAAAAGAATAATCAGATTTGAACTTTAGACTAATAAGTAGATTAACTCTAATTTTTGCTAAATATTTGAATCATTAGAAATAAAACTCTAGACCTTTTTTTTTTAAGGGGCTAGATTATTTTGAAATTCCCGGTTAGAATAGTTTTCTTATCTTTTGGTTACATTTTAGGTCGTTCAAGCCCTCAGTTAGACCCTTTGAGAAAAAGTCCAACCATGGAGCAAGCAGTACAGACCGCCTCGGCCCACTTACCTGCTCCAGCACCTGTTGGGAGAAGGAGCCCTATATCAAGCAGGCCTTTGCCATCCACCAGCCAAAAAGCATTAGAGAATCAAGAGCACAGGCGAGGTAGAACTTGAGCTATTTACTATTCCTTAAATGACTGATCAACATTTTCTGCTCACCTTATTAAGAGGATTTTACTTTATATGAATAATTTTAGGTTTAAACTGAATTTAATAGAATGTTCAACCTTTCAGATTTGACTTGAAGAGGTGGAGGGGGTGTGGTTTTTGGGAATTGGACAGGTTTTGTTTTGTGGGATTTTTTTCTTCCCATTTCTAACTTTACAAAAGTTTTTGGATGTGTATCTTGAGTGGATTTGTCACTTTGCATGTCTCCTTCTACAGCTGAAGTCCACAAAGTTCCAAGGCCAGAAAATGAGCAACTCAGAAATGATAGCAAGAGACAAATAGGTAAGTTACTTGAATCTGAAAGTCATATCCTTTGCTTCTCAGTAGCATTTTAAATGTGTAATACATGAGGACTAAAAAAGTGGAAGATAGGGCTACACATGTAATCCCAGCACTCTGGGAAACTGAGTCAGAAGGATATAGCAGGCTGGAACCCAGCCTGGACAACTTAGGTATGTTGTCTCAAAATAAAAAATGAAAAAGAGCTGGTGATGTAGCTCAGTGTGAAGGCTCTGGGTTCCATCCCTACTACCACAAAAACAACAAAACAAACAAAAATACTAGGTCTAGGGGTTTATCTCAGTGGTAGAATGTTTTCCTGTCATGTATGAGGCACTGGCTTCGATCCCTAGCACTGCAAAAAAAAAAAAAGCACACAAAAACTGATGACATCTGAGTAAGTTGTGTAGTTCAATTGATTAATTCTGTGGTTTTGATAGTGTGTAATAGTTAAAGGTAATGGGCTGAAAGTACTAGTGTTTTTTTTAACTTTTTTATGACTATTTTCTTTTAGGGAAGTTGTTGGAGTTTTTTGTTCATTTTGTTTTGTGTTTTGAGACAGGGTCTCGCTCTGTAATTCAGGGTAGCCTTGGACTCACTATATAGTCCAGGCTGGCCTCAAAATCATGACAGTCCTCTGACCTCAGCTTCCCAAGTGCTGAGATTATAGGTGTGCACCACCACACCTGGCAAATAAAGGTTTTTTTGGTGTTTGGCTGGGTGTCAGTGTGTGTGCGTGTTGTACTGGAGATTGAATCCAGGGCCTTTGAATTTAGCTACATTTCCACCCCTTGGTATTTTTTGAGACAGGGTCTCACTAGTCACTCAATTGCCCAGACTGGATTCAAATGTTTGATCTCCTGCTTCAGCCTCCCGGAATGTTGGAATTACAGGCGTGTGCCACCACACCATGAAGGGTTTTATAAAATACTACTTTTCTGGGAAAAATTCTGCTTGGTTGTAGAATTTTCATATATTCATGATTAATATCTGCTAGTATGACTTAATACATTTATGTTTAGAATGTGGTTCTGTGGCTTCCTGCTTATGTTTTTGTATCACTTTCTTGTTAGCACTATGAAATTGTTTTCTATGATTTCAGGAATACAATTACATGTATATTATATATTTGGGAAGTTTCTTAGCTGGATTTGGGGATGTACTTTAGTGATAGAACATGTATCTATCACATGTGAGGGCCTGGGTCCAATCCATCCTCAACAGCAGGAAAAAAAACTTTCTTCCTTAAAATTACTTAAACCCAGTCAGACGTGGTGGCACACACCCATAGTCCCAGCACTTGAGAGGCTGAGGGAGGAGGATCACCAGGTGTTCAAGGCCGAGCCTAAGATACACAGCGAGACCCTGTCTCAAACAAAAACTAAATCCACAACCTTTTTTTTCTTTGAAGTGTTAGTTTAAGAACTTTAATTTTCTTTCCTGATTGTTGATTTAATGAAGTTTTATATTTGCTTTGTTTCATAATCTAATATTTACCCAAAGCAGCCATTTTATTAATTTCAAATTTGTTTATGAAGATTATAATTTAATACTCCAAATTTTTAAAATTAATGCATGATCACTTTATTTAATGATTGGAAAATAGTTAATTTTCTCAATTTAAGAAACCTTGATATGGGCCAGGGTTTTAGCTCAGTGGCACCATATCTGCCTGGCAAAGTGCAAGGTCCTGAGTTCGATTCCCAGTGTAGGGGGGAAGCCTAGATACAGTTTATTTTTGTTTGTTTGTTTTTTCAGTACCAGGGATCAAACTCAGGACCTTGGGCTTACAAGGCAGGCATGATACCACTGAGCTAAATCCCCAGTCCCCAGTGTTTTTAAATATACATTTTTATTTCTCCTATACTTTGATTTTGTTTTCAGGGTTGCTCAGACGGGCCTATACCTTTTGAGATCTTCCTGCCTCACCCTCCTAAGTAGCTGGGACTACACTGACTACTTTTTATATATATATATATGTTTTTATATGTACTGTGGCATACAGAGCTTTTGTTTATTTATTATATTTTACTTTTTATTTGGAAAAAGAGAGCTCTTTTCTCAAAGTAATTGCCATAATTTCATCATGTAAAACTTAAAACAATAAATAAAAATATCTTTCATTGCCTTTCAAAATTCACCACCCTACCCTGTCACCAAACTTCTTTAACTAAATATTCTTTCAGATTTTTTTTCTTAAGATATTACAGACATAAACATCTATACTCAGAACTTTAGTTTGGTTTGGTTGTTTTGAGGCAGAATTTTACTACATAGTCCAGGCTGGCTATGTAGCCAGGCTAGTCTACAATTGTTGATCCCCCTGCTTCAGCCTCTCCAATGCTGGAATTACAAGCATGTACTGCCTAACTGGCCTCTTGGTCTTTTGCTGTACCTAGGGATGGAACCCAGACCTCATATCTGCTAGGCAAGTATTTTACCACTAAGAGCTATAACCCCAGCTCCAGAATTTTATTGTTTTAGGACAGATCTGTGCTTCCTGGCATACAGATAAGTCATTTTTAGTAGTAAAGTTGAATGTTGTAAACCCTGCTTATCTAAATTTAAATGTCTGGATATGCCTCTGTGGGCTTTTCTGGCTTGTTTTCTCAAACCCAGGCCATTTCCCAAACCTCAGCAAACAGTGAACATAAACCTGTCTGTTTCCTTGTAGTCGCTATGTACCCCAGGCTGCCCTTAAGCTCGCAGCAGTCCTCCTGCCTCAGCCTCCCAAGTGCTGGGTTTACAAGCGTGTGCCACCACACCCAGCTTTTGTAGTTAATTTCCATCAAATTCTATTTCATATTCTTATTTTTTCTTATCATTCCTATTATGTTGCATATTTATGTTCCAAACTTTTCATTGTTAATTATCCTATTTTTGTATTTATCATATCTCATGTGATTGACTAAAATCCTGTTACTGTTTCGTAGAGAGACTGCATAGGTATAGGAAGGCTTGAATATTGTGGAGTCAGAGAGATAGTGAAAGTGAAGTAGAAGTGTTTGGAACCAATGAGGACTGGTGCTTCTTGTCTGTTTTATGGAAATAACATCTCCAGCCTTTGAATTCGTGCTCATAAACATTCACGTGTTTTTCTTATTGTAAATCTTGTTTCCTGTTATCTTTTCCATAAAAGGCTTTAAGTTTTGAGAACCCACTATGTTTCTAGCACTTTGTAGGTTTGGGGAACATAGTAGTAAGGAGAACAAAGCCTTTGTCCATGAGGAACATATATTAATTTGTGTAAAAGCTCCAAACCTGTTTGGTTGTATGTTCTATTAATAATACATGTATGAGGGCCAGGGATTTAGCTCAGTGGCACCGTGCCTGCCTCACAACTGCGAGGTCCTGAGTTCAATCCCCGGTACTAAAAAAAAGATTAAAAAAAATAATAATAATAATACATGTATGAGTCTCGAACCCACAGATATAAATGTTTAATCTTTTTATGTGTACTAGTCTTCATATATTACATTTTAACAGTTAATTTCTCTTGTATAAAAAATATAAGTAGAATAATATTTAGAGAGACTTTAAAGCATTTTTGTTATTGGCCATTTCATATAACAACTACAATAACTTCTCCCCTAAGCCAGCTATTACATACTGAAAGCTTTTGGTATAAATTCTTTAATACATAGTTCCAGGCGCTCCTTCCACTCCAAGGAGAGGGCGTGGAGGTCATCGAGGTGGCCGGGGAAGGTTTGGTATTCGGCGAGATGGTCCAATGAAATTTGAGAAAGACTTTGACTTCGAAAGTGCAAATGCACAATTTAACAAAGAGGAGATTGACAGAGAATTTCATAATAAGCTTAAATTAAAAGGTGAGCTTTGATTTTTCTTAGAAAAATCTTGTTTATCTATGAACTAAGAATGTTTTCTAGATTACATATTTAATTTTATTTAGTACAAATCTTGACTTTTATGGTGTTTGTTTTTCATTAGAAGATAAACTTGAGAAACAAGAGAAACCTGTAAATGGTGAAGATAAGGGAGACTCGGGAGTTGATACCCAAAACAGTGAAGGAAATGCTGATGAAGAAGACCCACTTGGACCTAATTGCTATTATGACAAAACTAAATCCTTCTTTGATAATATTTCTTGTGATGATAACAGGTACTGTCTTTTAAGCTGTTCTTATGCTCTTAGAATATGAAGTATAAAACAATTATTTCATATAAATTCACAAGGTTCTTTAAACGTTTAATATTCTTTAAATATTAAGAGCTGGGCACAGTGGCACACGTCTGTAATCCCAGCATTTAGGAGGCTGAGGCAGAATTGCCGTGAGCTAGAGGCCAGCCTAGACTACATAGTGAATTCAAGGACAGTCTGAACTACCTAGCGAGACCCTGTCTCAAAAAACAAAAGAATATGTTAAAATATCTAGTGACCACAGTTAGGTTTTCAATATTTTATTTTACTAAAAAAAAAATCACCAGGTGTGGGGGTGTGGGCCTGTACTCTCGGGGGTGTGGGCCTGTACTCTCAGCACTTGAGGCTGAGGCAGAAGGATCACTGAAGAGTTTGAGGCCAGCCTGGACTATTTAGTGAGTCCAAGGTCAGCCTGAACTACATAGGAAGACCTTGTCTCAAAACAAGAACAACAAAAAATATATGTATTTTTTTTTTTTTGGTACCGGGGATCAAATCCGGGACCTTGCGCGTACAAGGCAGGCGCTGGGACCACTGAACTAAATCCCCGCCCCAATACTATATAATTTGATTAGGATTGTAATCACCTTTGGTTATTAGTATTTAAGACAGAAGCATTCATATAACATCTAAGTAAGACTTTCTCCTTTATACCTTTATACTGTATTTCATTTGAAGCCAGGACCAAAAAGGGTAACATTTCTTTGAAATTTATTGATACAATAAAACTCTGCCCTATTGTAATAAATATGGGTCCAGAAAATTGTCCATAAACTATTGTGAGGTGAATAGACTCAGCCATACAAGATAAAGAGTGCCAGAAGTTGCCCAGCTTAGTGCATATCTTTGTTCTGGCTGCAGTTTGGTGCCACCTGGTGGCAGTTGTTTGCTTCAGTTTAAATGTGGAGAGTGAAGATGATTCTGTGTCCTGAAGTTCCCTAAAGGCTAGATGGTGGCAGCAATTCACACATTTGCTGGGTTCACTGGCATCAGTTCCAGGATTGGGCCAGGAGCATAATGGAAACTCAGGGACCTACCCTCCATCTCCTAGCTTCTCTAGGACAGCGTTTTTCTGCTTGGCTTTCCCTTTTCCACTGGGGCTGAGTAGAATCAATTACAAATTGCATTATATCTGGGGTGGGGATGTAGCTCAGTGTTGCCATGCCTGTCTGGCAAGCACAGAGTTCTGAGTTCAATCCCTGGTAGGTGGAGGGGGGGGTTCATTATATCTGAATTACCATTATGTTGAGGCTTTTACTATTGTATACTTTTGTTTTATTGACTATATTTGAAAAAAATAATATTAGTCATATTTTCACATGAAGAGTAACAGACTGTTGTGGGAATATACTAAACTTGTATGCATTGAACAGATGAGGTGGTTTTTTCAGTTTTTTGTTTTTTAATTGAGTTTTCTTGGGTGGGGGCAGTATTGGTTGTTTTTGTTTTTTCCCATTTCAGTGCTCTGTGGTTGAATCCAGAGAGTGCTATGTTACATTCCCCTCTTTCTATATTCTTATTTTGAGACAGGATCTCACAGAATTACTCAGGCTGGATTTGAACTTGAAAGATCCTTCCTCCTCAGCCTCCCAAGTAGCTTGGGTGTTTATTTTTTTGTTTTGTTTTTTTGTTACTGGGGATTAAACTCAGGACCTTGCCCTTTCGAGGCGCTGTTACGCTGAGCTAAATCCCTGGCCCTTGGGTGTTTATTTTAAATTGATCTTTAGGTATTAGCCTTAATTTATGAACTGTGCTACTTACTTTTGCTGAAAAATATTCTTCTAAACAGGATATGCTAAAGGTGATGTGCTTTTATAATAGAGAACGGAGACCAACCTGGGCTGAAGAAAGGAGATTAAATGCTGAAACTTTTGGAATTCCACTTCGTCCAAACCGTGGCCGTGGTGGGTACAGAGGAGGGAGAGGAGGTCTTGGTTTTCGTGGTGGCAGAGGACGTGGTGGTAGCAGAGGTGGTGCCTTCACTACTCCTCGGGGATTTCGTGGTGGATTCAGAGGAGGTCGTGGAGGAAGAGAGTTTGCAGATTTTGAATATAGGGTAAGTCTTGTATGCTTTGGCATTGGTATTCAGTTTTATAAAACTAGAATGTGTTTATTTTGTGTGAATCATTTGGAGAGCATTAAAATAACTACTGGTTAGAATTTTCCTTGGAAAATATACCTAATTACAATGTTTCTATCATTTTTTATTTTTAGGGTTGTTTTTTAGGACTCACTATGTAGTTCAGGAAGGCCTTGAACTTGAGATGATCCTTCTGCCTCAGCCTCCCAAGTGCTGGGATTACAGCCATGCACCACCACTCCTGTCAATGTTTCTGTAATTTTAAGGATGGTAACTTCTTGGCTAAAGAATCCAAAGAAATTTTTTTTTTTTTTTTTTTAATCAGGGATCAAACTCCTTGCACTTGCGCAGCAGGTGGCGAAACCACTGACCTAAATCCCCAGCCCTCCAAAGAAATTTTTTATCTGTTCTTTGTTCTTTTAAACTTGAAGTAAGAAGTAGACGTGTGATTTGATTTTTCTTTTCATTATTGAGGATTGAACACAGAGCTTTCACATGGAGCTACATCCCTAACCCCTTTTTATTTTTATTTTGAGACAGGATCTTACTAATTTGAACTTGCCTTGAACTTGCCATCCTCCTGTCTCAGGCTCCCAAATAGTTGAGATTATAGGTGTGTGCCATTGAGCCCAGCTAGAAATGTAATGCTCTTTTTTCTCTTTGTATTATAGTGCCATAGTTTTAGATTATATAGACTGGTTAGGGAAAAAAATTCTCTCCTCCCCCAAATCTGTGAAGAGACTGAGTTAGGGTTATTTCTTTTTTTATTTCTTCTTGAAAAGAAGCGTTTGGGTTTTTTTGGTTTTGGGGTTTTTTGTTGTTTTTTTGGAGACAGTCTCACTATGCATTTCAGGCTGACCTTGAACTCACTGTGCAGCCTTGGCTGGCCTCAAACTCTCAGAGATCCTTCTGCCTCAGTTTCCTGAGTGCTGGGATTACAGCCATGGGACACCACACGAGGCCTAGGGGAGTTTTTTTTCTAGGAGGCATAGGAAGGATCACAAAAGACATACAGAAAAGGAACTATATCACCTTTATTTTATATTACAAAATTTTTATTCTTCTAACATCAGAAGAATATAGGAAGCACATATTCCCAAAATGGAAAGCAAGCCTTTACATTTTTTTTTCTTTTCTGGTACCAGGGATTGAACTCAGGATTGAGCTTGCTAGGCAGCCGCTGGCACCACTGAGCTAAATCCCCATCCCACAAGCCTTTACATTTTAAATAGTTAATATTTAGGGCCAGGCGTGGTGGGCATATGCCCATAATCCCAAGCACTTGGGAGACTGTGGCAGGAGGATCACCACGAGTTCAAGGCCAGCTTGGGCTACAAAGTGAGTTTAAGGCCAGGCCTAAACTGCATTGCAAGACCCTGTTTCCAAAAGAAAAAAACCAAACAAATAAAATTTTTAAAAATCCAAACATTTAGGAATAGAACATTAAGGATCAAAATCCCCCAGAGAGGTCTGCTAGTAACAGGAAAGTATAGCTGGAAACAGAAAAACCTGCTGTCAGGAATTTCATTGTCCAGTATTTGAAACCGCCCACCATTGGGATCTCTGTTAGTGATCAGTATTAGTGGCTTCTGGACCTGGTCCATTAGTTTTGATGCTTTTGGTATTGTGCCACGATGGCCAAGGCTTAAAAGTTAGCTTCAGATCATTAGCTTATGCTTTGCAGCCTTGATGGCCTAATACTTCTAATTTGCCATCCCAGCTCAGTGAATCTGTCTTAGAAACTAGAATGGCTTCTGCTTGTCACTGTTACTGGCCTTGCAGTTGCCATGGACCTCTTGAATATAGAATTCAGTAGCTTTTCCACAAATATTTACCTTTAACTCTGATCACCCGCCCATCTCAGTGTCTTCTTAATGTTTTTAAATACTTTTATTTAAAGCTCAATAAAATAAGCATTCCTCAACACCAACAACATGTAAACTGCTTTATGACCTACCTGCTTTTCCAGGTCAAAAGTCTAGTGTGGACTTTTGCTGGCCTTTCTTTTTTGGGGAGGGTACTGAGGCGCTACATCCCTGGCCCCGATGGACTGGCCTTTCTTTCATTCACTGTGCTGCAGATACATGGACCTTCTTGCTCTTGCTTAGTGACAAGATTGTTCCTATCTCAGGACCTGGATTTTTTTGTTTGTTTTGTTTTTTGAGACAAGCTCTTCCTGTATAGTTCAAACTGGCCTCAAACTCATGCCAATCCTCCTGCTTCAGCCTTCTGAGTGCTGGGATTACAGGCATGAGCCACCTCACCTGGAGATCTCAGGCCCTTTTTACCCATTTCTTCTGCCTAGAATATTCAGTTTGCTTTTCTTTTGAGCATTTGTGTTACTTTGTACATATTTACATGTGTTCACTTGCTCAAGTGCTCTCATTCTCCACTCTGCCCCTCCCTTTGGGGTGGGGCGGGTTTTGAGACGGCCTTAACTATGTAGCTGAGACTGGCCTTGAAGTGATGATCTTCCTGCTTCGCCTTTCCAAGTCCTGAGGTTACTGCAGGTACCACTGCGTCTGGTTTCCCCTTCCCCCTTTTGTGACCTCTTATATTCATTGTTTCTAATCAGTTTTTCAGAGTATGGACCTTGTATGTTTCTGCCCTACATTTCTGTCTTTACTTGCTTTGTGTCTGCTGACAACCTCCCATAGACCAACCTTACCATTTTCCTGCTCTTCGATCATCTAAGCTTTGCCTTCTCCTAGTGTTCTTTGTTGGCTAGTGGTATACTGCTTAAGCGATGGAGGTATGAAATGATCATGATCCATCTCTGCATCACTACATTCATTCCTTTAGATGTCCTTCCAGCTTCAATGATAACCTGCTATAGGTCTTCAAATCTACGCTCTCTGTTTACCCCACTTCATGTATACCAGTTACTGTGTAAAGACCTTAGGACAACTTCTTGTTGAAGATCACATTGAGTCCTCTTGATTTGAAAAAAGATGTGTTTAAATTAAACTTGAGTGCAGCTGAGAATTACAGTAATAGTTTCTAGTGTAATCTCATTAGAGTTACTAAGCCCATGAGACTGTCAGTTTTGACATTTATGGAAAGATAATTGCATGCACAATTTAATCTAAAATACACTTTTTAACTTCTAAAGATGGTTAAACCCTCAGAGTTGGAAAACATCTGGGCAGCCTGACCTCCTACCTGAAGCTTCTTCTGTAGTAACCCTTGTGGAGCTGGAAGTGTTCCCTTCCCTAGGCCATTTGCCCCACTCCCAAGAGTGCTCTAACTGTTAGATGTCACAGACACACACTTTGAATGGACATCTCTTTTTCTTTTTGAGACAAGGTCTTACTGTGTAGTTCAGGCAGGCCTCAAACTTGAGGCAATCCTCCTGCCTCAGCCTCCCAAGTGCTGGGATTACAGTTATGTGCCACCACACCTGGCATTTCCCCTTTATCTTTAAACTTTTGGTTAAACTACCCCTTATAAATGTACAGAATATATATACTAAGTGATATTTTTCAGGTATTTGTAAATATAGCTGCTAAGTTTTCTTTATATGACTGGACTATTATGCCCCTTTCTCTGAACATCAATCAAACCTTCACTGACTGCACTGTGTGCATGCTACATGCACTAATTCATAGCTTTCGTAAAGTCATGTCATTTTGTTTGAGTCTTGTTAAAACTTGTTATGTATATTGCAGAATTCAAATGCATTGCAGCGGTTAGCTATAAGACTCTTTATTCTCTGTATATCTGACAGATAAGTCCAAACTCTGCTTAAGTATTTTAAGGAAGACTCAGAGAACCCTGAAGCATTGTCCTGATGGTGAGAAGGCTCTCATGTTGCATTGGACTTTGTGTGAGGAAAGCACTTGGTATAGCCAGCTTCATTTCACATTACCTTTCAATTTACTTGATTAAAGCAAGTTAACTCACAGTCATCTCTTATACACTGCTTGATTCCAATTCTTTTTTTTTTTTCTTTCTGGTACTAGGAATCAAACTCAGGACCTTGCACTTGTCAGGCAGGCATGGCACCACTGAGCTAAATCCCCAGCCCTTGTTTGATTCCAATTCTAACCTCATACTTTTACCAACTATACCTAATTCTTCATATAAGCGAAGCACTGTGCTAGGGATTGGTAGTAACAAACCAATATAATTCCAGCCTTCTTGGTATTTACAGATAAGCAAGGACACAGGCACAGCTAAAACCAGGCACCCCTTTCACTTACCCTACAAAGTCTTGCCCAAAGTTTGCTCTGTCTTCATACACTGATTACCTTTCCGACCTCTGTAGTGTCTGCCTTGATAGGCACAGGTTTTGGGGGGGGGATTTCGGGGGGGCGGTTGGTAACGGGGATCGAACACAGGTCCTTGTGCTTTCGAGGCAGGCAGCAGAACCACTGAGCTAAATCCCTGGCCCAGGCACACATTTTAAATACACTTGTACCCTCCTTCCTGTATTTTTTGTTGTTGAAATTGTTCCCAGCCAGATAGGAGCTTTTTTCTACTTTTCCTTCTACCAAAACATCTATCTCAGTATAGAGCCATAGTGGGCTTGAAGTAATTGCTTATGATGTTGATTAAAAGAAATTCACCACTTCAGCCAGGATCTGTAGCTCATAGCTGTAATCTGAGCTGCTCAGGAGACTGAGGCAGAAGGATTGCAAGTGTGAGGCTAACCTGAGTAACCTAGTGAGATGCTGTGTCAAAATGAAACTTGAAAAGAGCAGGTGATGTACTCTGTGGTAAAGCTTCCCTGGGTTCTATCCCCGATAACCACAAAAAATGGAAAACACAGAGAAGAAATTCACTGTTTCAGCCTTCCACAAAACTGAAAGTGTCTCAGTGTGGCCAGCACTGGGATTGTGTGTTCCAGAGATGAATGACTCCACCAAGAGCCCTGATCTTAACAGCCTATACCTTTTAAATCATATCATCTGGCATCTTTGAATATTGGAAATAGTGGACAATCACAGTGCATTAAAGGAGATTTAATCTTGAAG